TTTATTACCTTGACTTTCTTTCATGCTTTATCTCTTTTTACTGTTTACTGGAAAGAACTGGAATAAATAAACTGGAATAAATTAACCATGGCCTGAATGTTAAAAAAAACCTCTTCACCCTTTCATGTAAAGGAACAGGTTCCCTGAGTGTGTACTGTCAAAACATAAAATGTGGATGGTATCATGCCTAGGAAACTTGGGCACATCCTTGTATGCCATCCGCATCATATGTTTGTTGTGGGAAATACTGGTGCAATGCCACTGTTCACGCAGGATACACGACATGAGCTACGTGGAATGTGAAGCTGCTGTCAGGGCAGCAAGACACAGTTGTCTTCACTGGCTTGCAGTGGCCAGGGTGAGGTAGAGAGAGGCATGTGTGTGGTAGCTGGGGAAGGGAGGAAGAAGCATGAAGTTTCATTGTATGGTACTGGGAGTTATTTTTTTTGAAGTCACAGAGAACCAAATAAAATAAAACAGAATCTGCTGGTCTCATGGCAAAGGAGATGCCCTGGGATAAGCTAGGAGACTGGTGGTCTGGGGCGTGGGAGAATGGTGTACATGGGAGAACACCTTCCTTGCACACCCCATCAGAACTGCCCAACATTTCTGCTTACAGAATGTGATTATTATTATTTTTAAAAAAGAAACACTTATTGCCCCTGTTTTCCTAACTGGAAAAATATTAAGACATACTTCGGTACCTTAGGATGGTCTGACTGTCTCATCCCTAGTAACAGCCGTATTAGTAATTGTCATCTGAATGAAACAAAGGCATTTAGACATGTACGTTTCACAAATACATCAAGCAGAGCAAGTTAAAATGCATTATGTAAATAGCTTAGTGTATAGTGTCCTTGAAGTATCACAGAAAGTTTAACTCTGAGAAGAAAATAAGAGTGCACATATTTCAATTTATCCTGACATTTCATTCCCCCCCCATGGTTTCAAAGTTTCAAAAAAAAATCTTATGTACCTAGTCCCATCTATGCATCTCCAGCCAGATTTGTGATGCTGGAAGTCGGCCAAATGGGCCCCCAATCCTCCCCCTCTTGCATATTAACCTCTCCTGACGAACACCAAAGTATAAGACAGTAAAAGTGTGCAGTGATCAAAGAGGACAAAAAGTTAAAGCCCTGCTTTCCCAGTGACGATTAGTCCATAAGCAAAAAGGAGAGCACTGCAAAAGAAGCAGCAGAAAAGAGGGGGGAAAAAGATGGAGGGCAGAAGGGGGGTGGGGGAAGCGTCCTAAAAAAACCACAACATACTATTCCCGTTCCTCTCGTTCCAACTGCCAGCGTCGCTGCCTGAGGACAGAGAAAAAAAATGAAAAAGGAGAGTTGCAGACAAACTGAAACATCAACAGGAAGCGCCTCTGTTGCTGAGCAGTCTTTCAAGGTCCTGGGGAGGAAACCCTTGACGAAATCTGACTAGAGGAAGAAAATAACCTTACTCCTGTGGCTGACAGTTCAATGGTGTAAACGGTTCGGAAGAACTGGGACTCATCTTTTCCCTTTGTCCCGTTCGCCCTGGTGAGGGGAGAAATCAGTTCTCCATCAGATTCCCCTTTACTGTCTGGTGTTAAATGAAGACATTCAGAGGTAGAGATGGGGAAGACTACAAAAGAGAAAGTGCCTGCACACGCCAGGCGCACACACGCACACGATTCTTTTTACCTGAAGCATGGTGGAACAATCGCCTTCTTGTTGAAAGGAGGTGTTTCTTCAGACAAAATCTAAATGCAAACCAAATGTGGCTGCATTCCCCAGGAAGTGAGAATGTGCCATTCCCGCAGCCACTCTCATAGAGTTTAACTGATGACAGCTGTGGATGAAAGCCATTCCTGCGGAAATGCACCTGCTGATAGGCGGGAATGGCCTCTGGAGAAATGCCTCATTTACAGTACCATTCTAAGCAGAGTTATACCCTTCCAAGCCCACTGGCTTCAATGGACTTAGGGTTGTAGCTCTGCTTAGGATGACTCTGTGAATTGCACTAGGTCATGCCTGTTCCTTGTTACCTTTGCCTCCCCCTCCTTGTCCTTTTCCTGTTTTATTTTACTTCCTTCCTTCCGCTCTTGAAATTTATATTCAAACACTTTGGAGCAAACCACCCTTTTTTATCTTTCTATGTAAGATGCCACATACATTGACAGCACACTAAACAACAACCAGACAGGCCACAGATATGAGGCAACCTTTGTTCCACTGCTCGCTGAGCTATCTGTTCCTTTTTGTGATGCCTCTTCCATCATGGACTCCAAGTCATGTGGAAGGAATGCCAAGGAAGGCCTTATCTGGGAACAGACTCTAGCAGCAACAGGGAGAATTATGCTGGCCAGGCTCTTGACTTCAGTCTTGCTGCCAGCTTACTCCCAAATCCCAGGTATTCATCTTCCATTGACCACAGATGCAATCCAAACATTTGCTCATGCTCAGGCATGTGTCAGTGGTTGCAGACACGCATGTAGTCTCTTTCATCCTGATGCCACCACTGCACAGACATACTTATTTTCTCTGCAACTGTGATTAAATCTATCTTCCAAAATGAATTAGTTTTAAAAGTAGATTCTACCTTTTGTTCTCATTAATGAATTCTGGGTATAGCAGCCAGCACAATTTTATTGCTTACAGCTTAGCTGTTTTGCAAAGGAACTCAGTACAGCAGCTACAGTTACCCATAAAACTAAGCATGGATTCTGCAAAACAAGGGAACGGGTTTAATGTGGGTCTCTGTAAGTAGAATGAGGCAGGGTCCTTCATCTGAGTAGACCTGTTTAGAGATGAATTTGGAGGCCAAAACACCCCTAGAAAGATCCCACCCCAAGCCACAATCCCATCTTTCTGGGTTGGAAGAAGGGGACAGGGCAGCATCCCTCCAACCAGTAAGGTCATACCACCCAGTTAGCTTTCTGTCTCAGTTCTGCGCTTTTCTTTTCTACGGATAAGACGAATAAACTTTGGTAATAAAAGCAGTAGACTGCAATTTCATGCATGCTTACTTGAGACCAATTCCCAAGAAAAACACGGGAATTAGTCTAATATGGTGTCTGTAAGTAGAATGAGGATGCAGCCCTTCTTCCTGGGAGTAAGCTGACTGAATAAAAGGGAACTTGCATCTGAGTAGACCAGCTTAGGCGCGGTATGGGAGGCACTCACTCCAATCCCAGAGACAAACAATTCTAGCTTGGAGACTGTCATTCTAGACCACGGGGTCTAAGAGTGCAGTTCTAAACTGGTTTACTCAGAAATAAGCCCCACTTTATTCAATGAGGCTTAGTCCTAAGAAAGAGGATTCCAGCTTATTCTACTTTCAGGCACTGCATTTGAGCCATTCTCTTGTTTTTTTGTGATCCGTTCCTTGTTTTATTGGCACCTCTGCAATGGTGGGAGCAGGTTAATTGTCTTCAGGTGCTGCAAGTGCTGCTTGCCTTTGGCAAGTTCCCAAGGAGATTGGGCTGTTTGCCACATTAATGAATGAAACCCAAGATAGGCTCACCAGATTTGGTACCTACAGTTACGAAAGATTCACCTGTTGAACTCATTTGAGGCAATGTTTGTGGCGTCCCCAGTTCTTTCAGGAACGGAGAGCAGTTGTAAGGCTTTGCACCAGTACAGGAGTACCACTATAGGGCACATGTTTTGATTGTCTCTAGTTGGGGTGGGGGGAGGTTGTAGCCTCAGAATCCTGGGCAACTATGCAGTCAGCCTCACAAAAACATCATTATGTGTATTTTTAAAACTTGACATCAGACAAAGAGTGAATACAACTTGTTCGGCAAGGACCTGGTTGAACTGCAGCCAAAGCATTGGATCTCATGGGCTCCCTGAGACCACCATGTCACCATCTTAAAACTTTTCTGCATCACCTTGGTTGTCCTTTGAGGGTGGCATGGCAGAATACACAGAGAAGAAGCTATATGACATTGCCCTTTTAGGACACTGTCACCTGCACATTGCTAAAAAAAATGCCTTCCCAAGAGCAGCCATTTACCATTTGTTTTCTCTCTATGAACAAAAAAATGCACTTAGAACGACTCCGCTGATTCTACCATTGTGCTGCCCTTTAAAACTTCAGGCAATGTAATATATCAGGGTTAAAAAAGCGTCCCATAAGTTTTTGCCAAAACACCCCCCTGATCCTAGGAAGAATTGAATTCTACCATTGTGCTGCCCTTTAAAACTTCAGTCAATGTAATATATCAGGGTAAAAAAAGCATCTCATAAGTTTTTGCCACCCCCCCCCGATCCTAGGAAGAACTGAAGTGTTAGAGTTGTCAGCAGGCTGTCACAAACAGGTTGCCAGCCTCCAGGTGGGTGGGATCTGGGGATCCCCTGGAATTACAGCTCTCTCCAGGCTACTGAGATCAGTTCCCCTGGAGAAAATGGATGCTTTGGAGGGTGGACTCTACAGCATTGCACACTCCTGAGGTCCCTGCCCTCCCCAGACTCCATCCCCAAAACTCCAGGAGTTTCCCAACCTGGTTCCGGCAACCACCTGATTTCCTCCCCATCCACTGCCAGTGGGTGGGGGGACCTGGGAACCCTAGCCACAAACAGTGGGCTTTCACTGGAAGACAATTACATCATCATAGATGTTCCTGGGGAAGAACATGAATTCCAAACACCAACAATGTTAGTGGTTCCTTTATTATTTATATACGTTTTCTAATATCATGAGCTGAGAAGAAACCAATGGGAACTGATTTTGCAAGGACTGTGGCATTTTGGCCGATCCACAAGCCCTCTAAAAGACTAAATGGCTGTGCTGGATACACTCAACTAATGTGGAATACATTAGCATCAAAGCAGGCCTCTTCCTTGATGCTACTAGGACGCACTCAGTATTTTTATCGTTTACTTATATAGCGGGGTATCCCCTGATAAGACTAGTGGGAGATTTGCCATCTACTTCTTTGGACACTCCTAATAGGATCTCCATTAAAGAACTTTGCATTTCAGTCAAGAGCCCACATTTCCATTGGAGGAAATACGTTTTGCTAAGTACTCTCAGATGCTTCCAATACAAGCGCTACCCCAAATGTGGAGGGGGCAGAACTCAGAGAACATGCTTTACAGATAGAAGATCCAAGGTTTCATGTTCAGTTTAAAGGCCCTCAAGTAACAGGAATGAGACAGACTCAGATCCTGGAGAGCTGCTGCCAGTCACACAGTGGACAACAATGGGCATTTTGGACCATTCGTCTGAGTCAGCATAAGGGAGCTCCTGACATCCTGTTATCCAGGATGCTAAGCAAAATTGGGCAAGTCATAGGACACTGTTCTTGTGCTTGGAGCTAAGGCAGGAAGGGTGGCATGATGTTAGGGAATTTACAGTAAGATTTGTTCAGCAAGTGGTTGTCCAGAGAGAACCGGTTGTAGAAAGCAGCAGCAGCAGGCCCCTTCACAGTCTCAACCAGGATTCTCTAGTGGGACTTCCAGTTCTTGGCTGCAGTTGATAGAATCTCTGTGGGTAGAGCAGGGCTAAAGGCAACAGTGCTTTTCTGGAATTTCTTCGTCCTTTCCTGTGTAAGGTTTGGATGCTTCCTATTGCTACGCTGCTCTGTAACAGTCAAGTCTTCGATTTCTTAAAGCCTTCTGTAGCTCACAGGATGAGCTGGGCCCCTCACTAGCCGCTGAAACAGAACTCTGGATTTAAAAAAGAAATTAGTCAGGCTGTTGGGTGTATAGGAAGGAAAAACGATGGAGTCAGGGAGCCAAACGTAATTTAGGCCTATACTGGAGGAGGGACATATTTTTATGTTGCCAGTAATTAGGAGAGATTCTGATTCAAAGTCTTAAGCTGTCGGGCCTCAAAGAGCTTCTGTTTCAGGAACACGTAAGTTCTAACCTCACCCCAGCTGCCATTTCACACAAGACAATGTTTCTCCACCATCTATTTTAAAAAAAGGAGCTGTACTTGCCTGTCAGCATCGGTCACCAGAGCCAGCCGCCCATAGTCCCAGGCCACTTTACGTAAAATGGAAAAAACAAACAGCAGTGCCTGCAGAAAGGCAAATGAGGAGAAATGAGGAAAAATAAGGCAAAGTCCCCCTTGATCCTATCCTCCACCCAGCCCAAGTGAGGGCGCAAGGGAAAGATCCAAATATCAGCTCCAAATTTTGTGCAATGAGGAAGCTCAGCTTTCTGCACACAAAAAACCCATACATTTGGTCCCTTTGCCACAACAAAAAGTTAACCACTTTGCAGAATGCTACTAGTAGTTGCAACATGACGGAAACTGTAGGGAAGTCTGTGCATTTAGTTTCTCGTGTTCTCTCAACTTTCACTGTGAAAGAAAGATCCTAGCCTTCACAGTTGTCAAAACAGATCTGAAAACATGCAACATCTGTCTGCAAATATTG